AACGGAACTGATAGCAGATTGCCATGGAGGAACCGATGTGAATCTAGTGACTGCACTAGGATTCTACAGCATGTTTGGTTCTTTAGAGTCACTATTGAATCTAGAAAAGAAACATGAGATGGTCACAGCCATCAGCGTAGAAGTATTCCCAGGAGTTCTGCAGACTGAGCAGAAGTACATAGGGAAATGGAGGGAAGCAATCGAGACAGAAATGAACATCAGACACAGTGAGACTTATTGTAGACCATCAGGAGCACGATATTTGGTGGGTTCAACGTTGGCTCCAATGTGCAAGAGCAGATACCCTGTACATTTCGTGGCTGTGGACGTGAAGAGTACAAGAACGATCGTGGATCAAGCCTTCTCAGTGCCGAAGTATGTGAGATTGGCGAGAATGTCTGAAAAGTCTTACGAGTTACTATGTAAGATGTTCTCAGCAGTTCCAGAGAGAACCAAAGAAGAATTGGAGTCAATACTAGGAAAGAAGTTCATGGGATATGTGAGCGGGAACTTCAGTGACTTTGAGAAACAGAAACAAAGAGGATCAACTGTCACAGATTACAATGCAGTAGATGAGAATGATGAAATCCACCGAGTGATGATGGAAGTGGAACCATTGCTGGAAGCTTCGAGAAAACGTAATTGGAGGAGCATCATGTTGACGCATGACGAGTTTCCTTGCCACTGCTTGCTGCAGACCTGGTGGTATCCCAAGCGTAGTAATCTGATGTTGATCTGGGACTCTGGAGAGCTGCTCTCCATGGGTTTACCAGATTCATCACAGCCCGTAACAATAGTGATAGTGGGAGTTATGATGGCGATACGATGGCTGGAAGCTCATGTGAGAGAAAATAGTAGACAGGAGGCGCCGACGAGAGAACAATTGCGGAAATTAGATTGTCTAAAAGATTTAGATCTTTTTGAGACAATGTGCAAAGTTCTAAACATTCCGATGGAAGTGAAGAAGATATGGGCGAGAAAACGATTGATGCCATGGTTCAGAGCTAACATGACTGCATGGTTGTACGAGTATGCGAAAAAGCATATGTCGAAGCATGGCAGAGTGTACAGTGAATATCAGCTGGACATTGGAGCAGGGGCTTTCAAGCGAGCTTTCGTGACCACCGCTGTGAAAAGAATTTCCAGGACGAGTGAGCGTAGTGGAAATGAGAAGGCAGAGATGCTGAAAGAAGATTCTCCACAACAGTTTCTGCAGAAACAGAGAATCCAACGTGGATCCCCTACCTTGCTGTAAACAGAGGGTAGAAGAGCAGAAGTGTTGGAGGACGGCTTCCAACAGCGTCAGGATAGCCAACGATGTGCTACAAGACACGGAAACCGAAAGTGCGGAGTCAGTATCACAGGAGGAAGAAATGGAACATTGATGAATGGTCGAGAAAACAAGAGGCAACAAGAAAGAAAATTAGAAGAATTTAGAAGTTTTAGAACTTCTAAACGACGAAAAAAGAAGACAAAAAAAAGGAGTGATGAAGAAAACTTAAAACTCAGAATTGTTTTATGTGTGTGAAAAACTCAAGTGAGAAACCAAGCAACCAAGTGAAAACTGAAACATTTAGTTGAGTTTTGAAATTGTTGCATTTATAAATTTGCATTTTGATTTTAGCAGAAGTGGCTTTAGAGACACTTATTATTTAATTAGAAAGGCTTAAGAGGAGAGTATATTTAAATATTCCAGCCTGCATGATTGTTTTTAATCACTTAGGAAGACTGATCACTTTGTGGTGACATGAGAGACTTGAGTGATCTCTTGAAGAGGGAGGTTGTTACATTGTTCTTTCTAACCAAAAAGTTTCTTAGTTTTAATATTACAGGACAATAACAAGCAAGATTTCCGAAGGGAAGGGCATAGTAGGATAATTTTAGCTTGTTGGTTGGCAGGACTGTCCTGCAAGCCAACACCTTTTAAATCTAAGAGAAAAAGTTTTAATCGGGACATTGACACTGGAAGTCAGAAAATATGTTTTATCTTAGGTCATATCCTCAATGTGCAGATTAATGTGAGAATTTGAAGGCTATAGTGATGTAGTATGATACCATTTATATTCTGCAGTGAGTCGATGTGACGTGGATAAAAGTAATTTCGTGCATTTTGTAAATTCTGTTCGATGACACGGTAACGATTTTACGAACATTGCGCGATTCAATGAGGACATTGACCGGACTGTCCGGGGAGTATGTGGCATTCGACCCGAATGGCCAAAATGCAATTTGTGCAGACTTCGAATTTTTAGCAGTAAGCCTTCCGGATTTGTGGTTATTAAGAACTAAGAACGTTATTGGAACGATTGGCCAAACGGTGAGGGCTGGAATATTCTAGTATTTTTAATTTTCAAAAATTCGAATTAGGACGTCATATTTCTGAGAAACGTCAGAAACGGCCATTCTGGCTAAAAAAACGAGAAAAAAAGAGAACAACTTTATCTGCGATAGCGAACAGGACGAAAATCGAGATTAAAAACGACAACGAACTACAGAATAGCAGACGACATTCCGAGTTGCAACTATTGTGCTGCTACAATAGTTGCAAGGCCGTTGCGAACAACGGTGAAGGATAAGAGACAGCCTTCCGGAATAGGAGGAAATCAAGATTAACGAGCTTGATTCAGCGGATTCGTCAATCCGGAAGGGTAAAAGAACTGAAACTTTTATCCTGCCACGTAAACTTTTAGCATCCTGTCATGTCCTGACTTGAATTTAATTGATATTTGGATTAGTTTTGACAAGGATGAGGTGCTAGGAGTTGGGGGGGAGAGGGTTGATCCATCTTCGATGGAGATGATGATTTTTATCTACTGAACAAAAACAATAGTAATATAATAAGTAGTAACCCTGTTTTTAGGAGTGACCTCGTGGTCTGGGGATACTGAGACCCAGCCATGAGCTCACTAGTTGCATGTAATTCAGTTAATTTGAGCGTTCTGGTCGAAGCCGGAGAGCAGTAACGTTTTTGTCGACCCGATGTTAGAAAGACCACCGAAAAGTACTGGCTTGGTAGAGACGGTGAAAAGCATGCAAAGCTCTGTTTAGACGTTAGCCAGTCGTCTTAAGACTTAGTTTTGTTATCCGTCGATATGTATCTTCCGGGCGAATGTTACAATATACAAGTTAGCTGAGCGAGCAAGAAACTGAAAATTTTATTGCCATAAAAAGAAAAATGAATACCATCTTTACAAAACATGTTAGCACCAAAATGAACCTTTAGATTGGGGGAAAATAATTCGAATTCTTGAGTGGTAAAATGTTTTAATGTCGAAATAAAGAGTTATTTAAGGCACCAAGTTTTCTGTTTATGAAGTGATTATTTGCAGAGATGATGGTTTTGGGGATAATAATCACATTTGGGTTAAACTTCTGAAATATCAAATTTATTAAAAATCTCCAATCATTAGCAAAGTCTGAAACTGTAGATAAGTTATCATTAAAGCCTGCTACTATAGTAACACAGTTCAGTTTCTGCGAGGAGTAGCGCAAGACAGTAGCGGCAAGTTTGGCTAGTTTTGCACCTCTGTACGAGTGAACTGTGGCTCCGACATCATTGGGGCTGCAGTACTTGATCCTTGAGGTTCGTATTACCAATTTCCTGCTCCACTTGGGTAGCCACTTCGGCCTTTTCTTCGGCTCGGACATTCACTAAACAGGGTACAAAAGAGACAAAACAAGAGATAGAATAGAATAATAAATGGACTATAGAGAACAAGATTTAAAAACAAATGAAAAAGAAATGAAAGCGATTATAACCTGGTTTTTCACGGGTGGAGGTTCCGGCGGGGTTGTCCGGGTAGAGGGGGTGTATCGCGGCTTGAAGAGCTTGTCTCTAAAATCCCGTACCGGGCCTTCTTACAAGCGTACCATTATGAGCGTATCATATTACATGAAACTATTTAATCTCTGTCTGACAGTCCTGCCAACCAGCATGCTAAAATTATCGTACTATGCTTTTTCCCTTCGGAAATTTTAGTTGTTATTGTCCTGAAAAAAAAAAATTAATAAGTTTATCACAACATTTAGGCTAATTGTTGTGATAAACTTATTGATTTCATTTCATTATTTCATTTTAAACTTATTCATTTCATTATTTCATTTCATTGATCCATTCAAATGAAATGATGTATCATGAGTTGATCCAAAACATAGTATCTTCGACTTTGAAGGGTGAAAAGTCGAAGCAGATCTCTAAATTATAATTATGTCTACTGCCACTAAAAACTAAGTTTTTGATATAATGATACATATATATGGATAATGATACAGTTTGCTAATATATATGAATTATGGTTATTCAATTTTTGAAGTTATCCATTTCGTTCAGCATGAGTATAACAATTTAAAAAAATATCAAACAGTTACAGTTGACCTCTTAATAGTAATTTAGAGGTCAACTGTGATTGGCTAATTTTTTATCATGATGGTTTAGAACCAAATTGTATGTGATTTATTGTAAATAACATTTGTAAATTGATGTTTTATCGTCATTTAGAGTAGTTTATTGTAAAAAAAATGCACATAGTTGCGAAAACGTTTGAAATTTACTTTTTAGCAAAAATTTCTTCAGTTACATCTAGCTTTATTGAACTCATAGTTATCTTTAATCAAGATTTAGGAACATTTTGGTTCACCTAGTTTTGTTTTCACAATTTCATTTTTTTCGACTTCGTTTTTTTATCTGTGTGTTGTTACGCAAGTAGTGCAAAAGTCAGCTTCGCCTCTGCGTATAATTATGGCGCGCGCAAATTAGATATTGGCCAAATTATGACAGGTTGGTTTTAAAATTTCGTGGTTGCCAAATGTCCTAAGCTAATATAATGGACGATCCTTTCCTAAAAAATATATTTCTTTCAACCTCATGATTCACAAAGGTGCAAAAGCGTTAGTGATTTAAATTTTCATTTCCTTTATTTGGTGGATTATTTTAAAATGGGAGTTCACGTTTAGTAATCGATACGCCGCTATCAACTCTCCGCGGAATTTTAATTTTTTTTTAGGTTTCAAATGGCTGTTGTTTATGACCCTGACTCTGTATATGTGAGAGCGTTGAAGCTCTTTCTTTCTGAAGACAAAGATGCTTATGACAAGCTGAGAAATTTGACGTATAATTTGCTTGAGAATGAAGGCTATGAAGGTAGAGTTTCTGCCACCGCTAAAGAGGATAAAGTTGTGAAAGTAAGACTAAATAATATTAGTTTCTACACTATATTGGTTATCGTTTTTTATCTCTCATTAGAATTGTTTTAATGAAATAACTGTTTCTTAGACGGAGCGCAGCTCCGACGACGGAAGGCAGCCAAAAAAATCTGGTAAACAAGAGGTACAGACGACTTCAAAATTTTCAATAAAAGACGAGAGCTCAAATTCTATGATTGGCGGCTGCGAGGTTGAAGAAGAACTTCCGATACCGTCTTCTGAGTCGTTAGATTCGTCAATTGAAGTGATCGATGATAGCGATATTTCTAAACCTGCTAAAACAATCAAGAAAGAAAAAAACATTGAGGTTTCTAATTCAGATGAGAAACCTGAGAAAAAGCACTCTTCGATAGAAAAGGAAGAACGCAAACGAAAGCGTCTCGAAGGTCAAGACAGCTCGAGTGGTAATCCTAAAAAGCGTAGCAAAGAAGACAAAGATAGAGATTCAGTGAAATCATCAAAAAGTAAATCGAAGAACATTGATATTGATGACAAGCAAAGCAAAGAAGAGGGCGAATCATCGAACAAAAAACCAAAGAGTTCTAGATCAGGACAGAATGAAGTGAAAGTTGAATGTGCTTCAGATTTAGATGCTACGATTTGCAACTTATGCAGGTACGTATATGTTAAAAGACAGTTTATATAAACGGCCTTAATGATATAACAATGACGATAGCCGCAACCCTTAAACAACTAGAAACAAATAAAATGTCAATACTGACTCCAGCTGTTAAGTTTAAAGATTCATACAGAGAAAAAAAAGAAGCAGTGTGAAGTTTTTTAAATGGACATACAGTACATGAGGGATATGAGATACCAGTTTTGAAAGAAAACACCATAAATTTTGACGTGAATCTCAGTAGCTTGAGATCAGCTCACAAAAAAAATGTTTGGAACTGGTGCGCGCATTGTGCTTGAAATGTGAGATTCGTGGTTTTCGGCCTAGATTCATTTCCCGTTTTTCTAAATAACATAAATATTTTCTCGTACTAGTTTTTATCGGCCTACTCTGTGAAGCATGGATTTTATTTTGATATTCATTTTGTTTACAATAATTGGAAGTTCTGTAATTTGTCATTGTACCAATACTGATTTTGAATAATTTTGTTTTTTTTCCTGTGTTTTTTTTCGACTAAATAGTTTTGACTGATGTTGGACAAGCTCAGCCAAATTATATATTGTTATTTCGACGGCCAAAAAATTCCTGTTCGAAAAAATCAGGTATTATAAAAATATATGGGATTGGGTTTTTTGTTTTTACTTTTTTGAAAAGCTTATGAAAATTTTTTTCACTTTTTGCTAAAATTTTTTCGTTAATTAGAAAACTACTCTACAGAGTTTCAAAAAAGTATATCATTGGAATATTACCTTCTCCTCTGTGCGCCTGCATAATCTTCTGGTCTCTTTTTTCTTTACCCTACAGTCCTCGAAAAATCTGTGGGGTGAATAATTGACCCATATTGTTGGATTTTTTTTGTTTTTTCCTCCTAAATCTCAGATTTTGTGTTCAATGGATAAAACCGGTTATGAGAAGCTCCCTCGCGTTAACGGCTGCGCCTCAATTTTTCTCTACAAAAAGTCTTGGCCCTCGGAATAGTCAAATTTTCGGTTTTTTTAAACTTTTTGTTTATTCTTGATTTTTCTCAAAAACTACCCTCCCAAAACTGAGATTTTGGTTTCAATCGAAACCAAAAGGTTGTGGAAAGCTCCCCTGCATAATCCACTCCGTCCATTTTTTTTACTACAAATGTTATGGCCTCGGAAAAGTCAATAATTGGTTTGTTGTACCGTCTTTCGAAACTGTTTGACTTTTCTCGAAAAGTACCCTCTCAAATCTTGAGTTTTGCGATCAATTAAAACACAGATTGTGCGAATCTTTTCTGTCCAGGGGCTACGCACAAATCTTTTTACACAAAAAGTGTGATTAGCAGCAAAGTCAAATTTTTGTAGTTTTTTTGTTTCGATTTAATCTAGAAACCCGGTTTTAGGAATATTTTCTGCTTAAGCGGCCACGACCCTATTATTGCAGAGAAAGTTATTGTTTTCCGAAAGTCAAGTTTTCTTTTTATTTTTGACCGTTTTTACAACCTTTTTGATTTTCTTAGAAACTACCCTACCAAATACGAGATGAAGAGTTCAATCGAAAGAACCGGTTGCAAGAATTGTTCCAAAAGAAGTGCATTTTTTTGCAAGAAAAATTTTATGTATTTGAAAAGATTGCATTTTCTGATAAATTTTCACTCTCTTATTTTAATAAAGAAACGGCTAAGGTTTTGGGCAAAGTATCAGTTTCATCCCGCATCAGTTTCACGATTTTCGAAAGTATCCATTTGTTACCTCCAGCTTTAGCTGGGGCCCATAGTTTTCTTTTATCGAGAAATAAGAACATTTTGTTTTACCGTTTTATATTTTCAGCCTCATTTTTTTTTACTAGAGAAACAACTAAGGTTTTGGGCAAAGTCCAATTTTTTAAATCAAATATTTCATCCTGCATCAGTATGATAAATTCCAATTTTACAAACAGCACCCCCGGCTTTAGCTGGGCCTCTAGTTATCTTTTTTCGAGACATACGAATCGGTTCACTTATTTTTTTTTCAACATGTTTCATTTTTTTTTCGACTTTCTTTTCGACTTGTCATTTTTTGTTTGTGTTATATCGCAAGTGGCGCGAAGCTATGCTTCGCTTCTGTGTCGATTTTGTACCTACCTGGTTTTGGTTGTCCGAGGTGAAAAAGTTTCTGAAACTTGGTGAAAACAGTTAGGACTAGAGAGTTTTTGTTCAAAATTGAAATATGATAGAATTTTGGGCAGAAAATGATTTTCTGTACTGATTTCATGTATTTAACGACCGGTAGCTGGGTTAAAGTATATGCTTACTTTTACAGTTTGTCATCAAGCGCTCTTCCTTGGAAGCGCCAAAAAATTTGAATTTAGCCTACAAAATACAATTAAATGTTTTCAAAGTTCAGTTTTTCATATCTTAAATAATTGTGTATGACCATTCAATTCACAAAACACTAGATTGCGTTTGTGAGTAAAAGTAGGTGTAGACAGAGTTACAAGCTTTATTTGAGCTGAGCGTCTAATGTTACGAAGATTTTTTAAAACCCAAGTAGCAAATCAAAGTGCTCACTTGCTGTCACTTCTGGTAGATTTCAATTAAATCATATTTAAGCTTTTTTAAGCATGAAAAATTTAATGACATATGTTGCTACTTTGTTTTTGGCCAGTCTTAGTTTCTGTTTGAATAAAAAACTTGTTTTACGAAAATGTATGGGATTTGTTGTTAATTCGTTTTTTTTTGCGAAGCTTCGGAAAATTTTAGCATTTTTTTGCAGAAACTTCAATTTTCTCAAAATACTGTGCCTATTTAATGTGCCTGCATTTTTCCTTAGTCTTTTTTCCTTTTACCTCACATTCTACGGCCTTCGAAAAATTCAGGTGGATTTTTGGCCTATTTGTTTTGAACTTTTTCGTTTTCTCAAAGATTAAATGCACTAATCTGAGATCAAGGATCAAAAAGACTAATTTATGGGGATATCACCTTCTCAATCGGCTGTTCGCTAAATTTTGTAGAAAAAAGTTATGGCCTCAATCAGGAAATTTTTGACATTTTGGTTAATTTTTCAAACTTTTTGATTTTTTTCAAAAAATACCTTGCCAAATCAGAAATTAAGGGTTTAAAGAAAGAATAAAATTAGTTATGCGAATATTACCTGCGCAAAGGGCTATGCCCTAAGTTTTGAAGAATATGGCCTTTGAAAATGTCCAGTTTTTGAAGCGTTGCCCGTTTTTTGAAAAATTATTATTATTTTTTCATTAATTGTACTGCTGATTCTGAGGTTGATAGTTTATTACAATAACATGGTGCTAAGATTTTCCCTGCGTTATCTGTTTTGTTTAAAAGCTAATATACACTTCGGAAAAATTCCTTTTTAAGTTTACCGTTTTTTTTTAGAAATTTCGTCAATATTCTCGAAAACCACTAAATAAGTCTGATATGAATGGTTCAATATAAAAATTCAAGGTGCCGAAATCTTCAATCTAAATTGCAAGGTGTGGAGAGCACGTGTTTTGTGTGTAATTTGCCTTTGTGTAACAGTTGTTAAGAGGCTTATTTTTTATAGATTTTTTTAAACTACGCGTTCTTTTCTTGTTGATAATTTTTCTTATTTGAAAACCAAACCATTGGGAAAACCATTTTCCATTATATAATTTACGTTTGATTATCTAAACCATATCCCCAAGTTTCATCTTATTTTAAGATTGGTGCTTTTTTGTACAAATTTTAATGAGTAAAAAATCTTTTTTTTTTTAAATTTGATTATAGAAAGGGTATTGCAGTCTGGCACTAAACGTTTTTCCACGTAAATAACTCTCTTTCTCTACTTCCTTCTACGAACAGACAGAATACAGGCTTTTTTGAGTATGTCAGCATTGTGAATGCCCGTTCTGTTTAAGATTCGATAAACGTAGTGATTTTTTTTAAGGAAAAGTATTAATTTTTTTTCAGGTTCAAATTTACTTTTTCTCGGTTTGACTCTTGGTTATTTTTGAGTTAGGTCATTTACTCACTTTTGTCGTTTCATTTGGAATTAATGACAGTCATCAATTTTCAGGAGTCATGAACGTAGTGAAATTCTTATGTTGGTCCTAATGATTTTTTTTCAGGTCTTAAAATTTGTTCACGCTCGATTTTTTTGCCGTATGACTTTCGATTTCTTTTTCAGTTCAATTCATTTCTCTTATTAAAAGGAAGACAAACTCCATAATCGAACTGCAATATTGTAAAGGTCACGACTTCTAGTATCGAAAATATAATTTAATTATCAGATTTCCAGCTAAAATAACAACTTTTCCTATTGATTCAGTTTGCTCAAATTGGGTTTTTTTTAATCAAAAAAGCGTTGATTATCAATTGTTCATGAAATTCAATAAAGGTTATAATTTTTCATTAAAGTTCGAAACGTGATTTTTTTTCAAGAAACAGGTCAGTATTTTTTAAATTTTCTTGAGTTCATGACTCTTTTCCATTTGTCTGTTGGTAATGTTCTACAAGTAAATAGGTTCTAAGGTAATTAAGTTCCAAGATTTCGTATTTGTGTTCAAAGGTGATTAAGTTCCAAGATTTCGTATTTGTGTTGAAAGTTATAAAGTTTTTTGAAGTATCTTTCGATTTGTCGGTTCATTTGCAAATGATGAGTCATGAATTTTCAAGAATCTTGAACGTATTTAATACTCTTATGAAGGTTTTAATGATTTTTTTGTTTGTTTTTTTTTTTCAGAAGAAAGTCTTAACGTTTGTTCACGCTCAAATTTTAGAGTTTTTCCGGTTTGACTTTTAATTTTTTTTTCAGTTCAATTTTTTTTTAATTAAGAAAAGGAAGACAAACTCCATAATCGAACAGCAAAAGTGCTAAGGTCTCGAAAAACGTGATCGAATTTTGTTTCGAAAATGGAATTTATTTATCAGATTTTCAGCGGCAATAATCATTTTACCTATTGATCAATTTTGCTCACATTGGGTTAATTTTATCAAAAAGTGCCAATCATAAATCGTTCATGAAATTCAAAAAAGAGCGTTAAGGGTACATATTTTTTCGTTGAAATTCGAAATTTGATGTTTTTTTTGAGATAACAAGCGGTTTTTTTCCTTGCATTCATGACTCTTCTGTCTGTTGGCAATGTTCTAAAGTTGCAGGTAATTCAGTTCATAGATTTCGGATTTGTTTTCAAATTTTATAAGTTTTTGAATTTTTTCTGGTTAATAATGAGAGTCATTGATTTTCCTATCGAAAGTGGTGCGGAGCTCTGCTTCGCCCCTGTGTGATATGTTTCCATATCAGAAGTTTTTCAATAGGCATTTGTTAATTTACATAATTCTGATATTTAAGAACATCAAAGGTCCAGATGGGCTTTTTCAAGTGATGCCCTAATTAGTATTTAACAATAAATCAGTTCATCTTTTAATTTGCGTTCAAATTTAAACCAAATGTTATAACAGCAACCTGTTTGAGAAGTTTATTCCTCAATTCTAGACGCTTCTAATGTTTTATCTGTTTCATTTTCAAATAAATATATAATGAAATCATGTCCCCTTATTTGATTTTCAGCCCTGAGGATTTGCGTCTGCTATTATATAATCTACTTCCAAAGACAAATAATTTCTTACAGATAATTATAATAAAGTTACCTAACTTGCCTGAAACTCTGACCTCTCATTTCTTTATTATCTTCAAAAAGTTTGATAAGCTGTAATTTTAATCCTTCTTTTTTTTTCGTTTAGCCGTTTGCTTAATTGCAGACAGACGTTTTTATAATTTAGTTCATCCTGCCTGATGGTTTGACATGTGAAATCCTTGAGTTTTGCATTTTTTTAACTTTAAAAAAATCTTTTGACATTATCTTGACTGACAACTTGATCAACGAAATATTTGGCAATCGGCATGCGTTTTTCCTTGAATTTTTTTGAAACTATTCTTGATCGTCTATCTTGATTTGAATTCACTAAATTCAATTTAACTTTTTTCCTTCTATTTATTTCCTTGTTTAGAATTTCATGGCTTGCTTACTTTCAATTAGAAAGAAATTTCTGCGCTTGGTTGCTAGTTTAAATGATGCAGATTCAGTTTTTGTTCTGGATATTTAAGCAAACCAACACCACAGTTTTTGAGTTTTGTTCAGCTTTTCGTTTTTTATTATACCACAGAGCTATAGCTCATTGGATAATGTGCGACAAATGCTAATTTGAGAAATAAATACTTAGCTACTAGTATTCTCGTTTGTTCATGTTCAGTGCCACTTTTTCTTTGCGTATAATGCAATTCATATAGTTTTTTTTTATGTTTTAGTGGAGGAGTGTCGAGTTCCGGAAACAAGATTGTAACTTGTAGAAATTGCAGCAAAGCATTCCATCAAGTGCGTATTCTCGAATTTTTTGTTTGTTTTGAATTCAATGCAACAGGTGCAGCCTAGCTATCGGAAAAGGCTTCCTAAACGGAAACATAAAGTGTTAACTTTTTTTGTAAGCGCTGATAAGACTATTTATACACGAGGCAGCGTGCCGAGGGGGGGGGGGGGGCGACCGCCCTCCCCCTCAATTCTAGTTGCAATTTTTCCAAAGAGTCCCCTCTTTAGCATAATTTTAAGTACGGCGTCCAAACCGACGTTTTTGGCCTATTTTTTGAAAAATTTTCCTGCAGCGCAGAAAATTATTGACAAAATAGGATCCTTTTAGAATTTTCGGAGAGTTCGGGAAATCAAATTGGTCGACCTAAAAAAAAGGTCAGCAAGTTTTCGAAAAACCGCCTCTCCCCTAGAAAAACTACGCTGCCATTGACGCGAGGGAAAGGACCAGCATACGAGCTGTTTAGCGGAGAACTGCTGTTGTGCCCCTGATTAAGATAAAGATATATTGCAACGAGAACGGATCATGGTAGGCCTCGAACATCTGACCTTTCGTTTGAGACGTAACCGCTTCACCACCACTCCCCTTGCTTTTATAAGAAAACTGGAGCACAATTAAAAGTGATTCCTCATTACGCCCCTTACTAAGTTTTGAGTGGTGTACTGGACTTAGAAGTTCACTTGAATCTGAAGCTTCTAGTTCTGTGAGTGATTACAAGAGTTTGTATTTTTAGACTATAAATATCCTCGAAGCCGTTTTTTTTTCAAGATTCTGACTCTCGGCTACTTTATCTAATTAAAATTGGACAAAGTGTGTTTTTGAAACCCCCAAGAAATATTTTTTTTTGAATAAATTGTATGTACAAAAAGTTTTAAGTTGACATCTTTCGTTTTTGCGTGGTGACATTGAAAGGTTGGCTGGGGGAATACATTTTTTATGTCTGCCTCAAATACGATTTGTGATAACAAGGTTGAAAATGGATCCGAATTGGCTCTGAAATTAAAAAGGGGTTTCTCTTATCTAGCTGCAAGAATTGCTCTGAGAAATTTTCCTTTGTTGAGAAACGCATTTATCCGTTAAGTTAATTCCATTAAGTTGCAGATAGAGTAAAAACAGTAATAAAACACCTGAAAAGATATATTTGTTCAATGCATTAGAATATGCCCCGTGAGATAATTTTAATGGCGTAGAATCATTGAGTAGTTATGAATTTCCAATCAGTTTGCTTTTTGTGGTCGTACATTCCATGCTTTTGAAATAAAATAATAATAAAAATATATAAATAAACTGATATGCTCCTCATACTTGGAAAAACTATGCAACCCATATAAAAAAGTGCAGCAGAGAGTAGTAAATATTGAGGGACAGTTGTCCGAGCTCTGGTCAGATTTGAGGCTCAAAAAACTGCACTATTTTTTTAAATAATTTTTTGGTCATATAATGGATTTCCTTCTGCACTGGCTTTCGACGTCGAGTTATGCCGCTTTGTTTAATAAAAAATTAAATTGAAATTCTGGTAATCCTCGCCTGAAAGAGTGATAAGGTGAATTTCAAAAAGTAAAAAGAACAAGTTTGAAAAAGCAAGTTTCTGGAAAAATACAATTTTATGCATCAGATTTTGACAGGCGGAACACGAGTGATACATCATTTGTTGTCAAAAAAGCAAAAAAAAAACAACCTCTAACAGTTTTGAGCAAGCTTGAAAAAAGAAAATAACTTAATGACTTAGTTTTTCTCAATTGTATGCAGTACTTCTGTAAATGGAGATCTAGATAATATCGCTCCAATGAAAAATGAAACATACAAAACAAAAAAAATAGGTTATGATTACTGCAAAAAAACATAGCCATAAAAGGGAACTTCTGCTAGAGTATCTTGCTATTAAAAAAGACGCTGCGTGGCGAAGATTCGTGAAACATCGAAATGAAATTAAGGCAGTAGTGAAAAAATAAAAAGAACTATGAAAAAAAAGTTGCTCGAAAAATTGTTTTCAACTAGCCAATAGAAAAATTGTTTTCAACTAGCCAATAGAAAAATTGTTTTCAACTAGCCAATAGAAAAATTGTTTTCAACTAGCCAATAGAAAAATTGTTTTCAACTAGCCAATAGAAAAATTGTTTTCAACTAGCCAATAGAAAAATTGTTTTCAACTAGCCAATAGAAAAATTGTTTTCAACTAGCCAATAGAAAAATTGTTTTCAACTAGCCAATAGAAAAATTGTTTTCAACTAGCCAATAGAAAAATTGTTTTCAACTAGCCAATAGAAAAATTGTTTTCAACTAGCCAATAGAAAAATTGTTTTAAACTAGCCAATAGAAAAATTGTTTTCAACTAGCCAATAGAAAAATTGTTTTCAACTAGCCAATAGAAAAATTGTTTTCAACTAGCCAATAGAAAAATTGTTTTCAACTAGCCAATAGAAAAATTGTTTTCAACTAGCCAATAGAAAAATTGTTTTCAACTAGCCAATAGAAAAATTGTTTTCAACTAGCCAATAGAAAAATTGTTTTCAACTAGCCAATAGAAAAATTGTTTTCAACTAGCCAATAGAAAAATTGTTTTCAACTAGCCAATAGAAAAATTGTTTTCAACTAGCCAATAGAAAAATTGTTTTCAACTAGCCAATAGAAAAATTGTTTTCAACTAGCCAATAGAAAAATTGTTTTCAACTAGCCAATAGAAAAATTGTTTTCAACTAGCCAATAGAAAAATTGTTTTCAACTAGCCAATAGAAAAATTGTTTTCAACTAGTCAGATCGCTACACCGATGTTGATACAAAATCGGATTCTTTGATTGACTACGTTTTTGAAAGTAGGACGATTTTTTGCAAAAAAAAGTGATAGCTGCTTTCAATAACAAATCTATCAAAACTACACAAAATTCGGTTGTACTAAAACAAACTGATAAGTAACTGAAAAAAAATAATAGTAATTGAAACAAATTATAGATTCAGCTTTAAGTCCCATGGTAATACCGAACTTAGTAATTTGATTTTGAAATTTCCAAACGCAGCAGCTTTACTTAGCACTCTTATTTAACCAATATATTTAAGATTGTAATTTTTCCTGATGCACTGAAAATTGCTGAAGTGGTCACTATACATAAAGGCGGAGCCAAGACTGTTTGTTGAAACTACAGGCCAATTTCATTGCTACCTGTTATAAGCAAAGCATCAGAATATCTGAGTTTGCCACGAAGGAAAATATAATAACACCGCAATAACTGGGCTACAGAAATATAAGGTCAACAGTAGATGCAATTTCTGATTTTGTTGCTTGTGCTTTTGTAGATCTTTCAAAAACCTTTAATGCAGTAGATCATGGAGTTTCCAATCTATAATCTCTGAAATTTTGATTTCTACTCTCAGAAATATCCAATCTCTGAAATTTTGATTTCTACTCTGACAAACATATCAGTTGTAGAAACTAGTGATAGCCAATCAAAACAACAGAAATTGTTTTGTGGGGTTTCACAGGAATCAGTTTTTGGAACTTTGCTCTTTTTTGTTGTATGGGAATGATCTGCCTGTTTGCCAAGCAGATGTGTTAGAATTTTTTCTCATTATACAAATATTTTTTACGTTCGTTTTTGAAAATTGCGTTAATTTGAGTCAAGCTTTGCTAAAATTAACAATAACAATTTGAAAAGTATTTTTAAACGTCCACTTGCTAGCATTGATATAAAACGTCATGAGCTAGAATATAAGGAATTGAAGTACCTTTGTGTAGATTTAGTTCTGAAGCTGAACTATTAGCAGCATATAGTTCAACTTAATAAAGTACTCGCATTCTCAGCCAAAATTTATCACTATAGACAGAATGTCTTCCAATCAAAAACCCTGAGTTGGACTTTCTAAAACTCACCTAGAATCAGTATTGCAATATATTATGCAAATGGGCTAATATAACCAAGTTGACAAGTTAGTAAGTTCTCAAAATGCATAAACAATTACCACATGAACCACTCTTTTTAGAATAGTGTAAAAGAATTCAGTTTTTTTTCGATATTAAGATTGGGAGTTTTGTGATTTTTACAGAATTGTCACAAACCGCCTGTCGCCGACTCTGCTTTTGCATCTAATGATTCATCAACCCCTGATTGGAATTGCAGATTATGTACACTGCAGAAGATAGAGAATAATGGCGGCAAATCAGCTGAATCGACAACGAAAGTGTCTAAGAATGTGAGTAATACTCGTGGCTTTTGGATAGCGTGATTTGCCAATCAAAATATGGAGAAAAAAAACATGTAAACGGTTCTATATCCCGATGGCACAATGTCTATTTTTTGAAACCTGCCATTTTGAGCTCTAAACTTCCTTATTTTTGTTCCTGACTCATGTTCAGACTTATGTTCAGCAGGGCCAATATATGGGAATTATATAAACACAGTTTCTTGAATTGCCCCAAGTTTTCGCTGCGTTATGTGGAAGACAAAAAAAGATAGATTTACGTACCAAAATGTCCAATTAGTATGTTTTACCGTTGTTTTAGAAAGACTCCAGCAATTCAAGCGGCAAGATCAAGATCAAAGACCCGCTGAAATCGGTTATGAAGACGGAAAAGGCTGAAAAACAACTAACTGCTCCAGGCGTGCTATCGCTAGCTTCCAAATCATCAGCTATATCAAAATTAGCTCCAGCGGCATCTTTGGGCTCTAGTAGTGGCGGATCACCAGCTAGCTCCCCGTCTGCGAGTGGGGGAGGAGGAATTTTTTCGAATCTGGCAGCGGCGTGGGGAAATTTGACTCCAGCGAGGGCTACTGGCTCGGAAACTACAGCGGGGTCTGGAAAAAGTGGTGGGGCTAAGGGGTCTCCAATAAGCAAGGGTAAGAATTCATTTAAAAGTATTGGAAATGCTTGCAGGGTTGAAATTTTTCATTTTGTTTTTCATTGAAGCATGTGGGGGTGTAGCGACTTGCATGCGTGCCGCTTAGCATGCGCGATTAAAATAATTTTCATTTTGAGTTAGTAGCAAATGTGAGAAAAAAACTCAATTCTAATAGCCGCACGCTAAGTGGCACACTTTCTATCAGTCTGGTCACCCAAGAAGTATGCCATGCGATGATATTAAATCTTTTGATGACGATGACAGCATGAAGTTATTCAAAAGGAACAAATGAGTGTTAAGCTTCCTATTTATGGTTTCTGTGTCATTTTCTATGGATCTCATTTGTTTATTTTTTGCCAGATAATGCATTGATGAGGTCCACTTCTTCGCCTGTAAGGTCAGCGCCGATCACAGCAGAGGGTGGGGGAGTTAAGAACAGTTTGAAGTTTGCAGACGACATATTCGGAAAACCAGGATCATCTTTACTGCCTCAAAAAACTTCACCATCTTCAGCTTCTCAAGGTAAGTAATGAGCCAAGTACATTTTTTATACAATCAGAGACTGATCTTTGATTAATGCGAATAAGGTGGCAGCTTTTACAGAAAACATGGCCGATCAAATTAATTTTCGAAATTTCGCAAAACATCTAATTATGATTACAGTAATGGAACTTTGTCTTATAAGCTGGTATCTGAACATACCTAAGCCTTAAAATGTAAGCTTGATAGTCGTGAAAGGTTGCTGTCTGTTTTGAGGAGTCTCGACTTTGCAAACTAAATATTATAGGAAAATTCGCTTAAGAGTTACGGAGCGTTTTGTTACAGGAGCGTCATCCAAACCTGTCACATCAAAGAAACAAACTGACAGCACTTCGTCTGTATCAACTGCAGTCACTAAGAAAACAGAAGCCAAGCAAACCTCAAGCAGCAGCAGTAACGCCACTAGTGGCTCGAAGAGTTTCAACCCGTCTCATTCTTCAAATGAAGCTGCAATGAAACGGATCAAAATGATGGAGAAAAAAGCGACGGCGAAACGGAGTAATAGTTTTCTGTGAACAGAAAACATAACTGGTAATGAATGAAAATGACTCAGCAATTTAAAAAAACAGTAGTTTCAGTAAACTGTATTTATTTATTTATTTGCAAATAATGGACAGTAAAACAAATTAAATATTTTCTGAAATCACACTGCATAAAGTTTTAACAGAAGCACTGTCAGAAAACACAAGGCACAGATTGTGTTCGTGCTGGCTAAACGAGTTCCATTTTTTTTCTCGCGAATACAGCTTTTCTTTTTACTTTTACCTAGCGTTTGATTCAAAAATTACATAGCTTAGTTGAACAAAAATTTACTTCTAGTTACTAACTGTACTTAAATTTTTTTGAAGTTTATCTTCGGTTTTGTAATTTTTAATTTTGAAAAGTCAATTCTTACGAGTAATGATTATATAGGTCTTCCTGCTTTTTCATTGTTTTTTTTCTCAGGAAAAAGTCCTAAAATTTGTTCAAGCTCAATTTTGGTATTTCGCGGTTTGACTTTTAATTTCTTAAGCTCACTTCATTTTTTTGTTGAAATGAGCAAAACTCCACTATCGAACAGCAAAAATGAATAGGTCACGAAAAATGTGACTGACTTCTAATTACACTTGCGATTAGCAAGCATTATCAAAACGGCATATAGACTTTTTCGGGTTAACAACTAGTTTAACAAAATCGTTTGAATCACTTATACAAGTTCAATTAGTACTGATCATGTCGGCGATTTTGATGATGCTATGCAGCTGAAATGCTCGATTTCTTAAAATTTCAAATTTAACTAATGGGTGGGTACTAGGTACTACATGTTAATTTCAAGGGAGACCTGAAACACGTAAAAGTTTTTTTACAAAATCAATTTTCCGTTTAACTGGTGTCTGATTATCGGCTTTGTTTCCGCATCATAAGTTTTTTCAGTTGCTAATTTGAAAAGTTTGGTTTGGCATGTTTGCCTAGAATTCTTGTTCGATTCGAACAGGTATTTTTGATGTTTGGGATAGTTTTTGGGAAAAATTTAGTATTTTTTGAGAAGCTTTAGAAAATTTCACCACTTCGCAATTTTTTTTTCTCGAAAATACATACTTTTAATTTCAGAAAAATGTTATCCAGTATCCTAAAAACACCACCTGCATACTCCCCTGGTATCAATTAGTGTAACGCATTTGTCTACAGCCTCCTAAAAAAACTGTGGGATGGGGGATAATTGACCGATATAGTTGATTTTTCTTCCGTTTTCTCAAAAACTTACGTACCAAATCTGAGATTTTAGTTTCACTGAATAGAACGGTTTTGAAAAGCTCTCCTCTGTGAGCCGATACATACAAAATTTTTCTACATTTAAAAATATGGCCTTCGATATACTGAAATTTTTGATTTTTTTGACCGTTTGTTGAATCTAAATCTAATCTCCCAAACAACAGATTGTGCGTTCAATGGAGATATTGGGTTAGGTTTAATCGCCACAACAGGTTGTTTGGTATTTTGCCTTTTTAATTTGCTAATCCCAGTTTCTTCAAGAAAAAGTTATAGTCTTCAAACAAGTGAAAGTTTTGGAACTTCGACCTTTTTTAAAGTTTTTTGACTGTGCTCGAAAATTTCCGCGCCAATTCTCAGGTTGTGTTCAGAAACCCGATAAAATTCTTTTTTTTAAAAAGTCACTTTTTTTTCTTTGCGTTCATTGACTTTATTTCAACTGTCTTTTGGCTATTTTTTTTCTAATAGCATTTGGTGGCTTCATTGTTTTTTCAAGAAAAAAGAATTGTTTAATTTCTAAAAAAAATGGATATACGCCCAGACACTAGGTTTTTCAAATTGACGAAAAGTTGGAGGCAAAGGTAGTGTATGTTAATGATGTCTCAAAAACTAATGTACTTTCAAATTGTCTTGAAACTTGATTTTTGAAAATTGTTTGACCGGTTTCTTGGAGAGTAAAAAAATGATGTGTACACGGTCGAACAAATTAACTTTTTTTAATTAGTTTTAGACCACTATCGATTATATAAATTAAACGTCTATGCAAGGATTTATTAGTTTTTGTTTTTTGATATCAGCGAAAAAAACCGTAAGATCAGAATGCGCCCCTAGAAAGTTTTTGGATCAGGTAAGAATAGTACCTAAGGCAAGAACCTTTAAATGGTCAGGATATCCAACTACACTCACCACCCCAAATTCTTCTATTGCATATGATTTTTGCGTCCTTGGTAGTTCCAAGCTCTGCTTCTTCTCAATGTCATCTTTTTTGTCTTTCTTTTCATATTTGAACTGCAGTATGATGTCAAAAGTTAACTTGATGAGTGCTTTGAAAAATACATTTGCCAGGTGTCTTAAATAACTAGAGCTCTTTAAAATCTACCAGGAATTTTTATAACTTCCTTTTTAAAAATCGTTTCATTATCACAAACGGACATCATTCAACGTCTTCGGTAACGCTAAAATGAAGTGTGACAATTATATACTTTGCGATGTAGCAACGTGATATGAACTATTTAAAAATATATATCGAACTCTTGAGACAAATTTTGTCTTCGTCTTTGTTGACGAAAAATGTCCGTTTTTGACAACCAAAAAGTAGGGGAAAAATTTGCCTTCGTTGCGGCTTTAGTGGAGACTTCGAAACTATTTTGAAGTGTTTTAATCTCGGATGCTTCGTGGTACAGCCACGTGATAGGAACTAGTTTTTAAAAGGCGGGGCTCGTCAACTTCTAGATATTTTCTCCCAAGATGGTATTTATTGCCCCGGTCTGGTTATTTGTTCATATCAAAGCCGGTTTTGAAAGATATGATTTTATTTTTCTGTTTATCATTTTCTGGACCAACTTATTAAATCAAAGGCAACTGCTGCTTTCGAAATTAGTTTTCGTCTTTCTTCTTTCAATTTCGAAAGAACTCATTGCAATTTTGTATACAAAAGAAGGTTGAGAACCATAGAAGATTTCAAAAACAAAAAACTTTTGCAACTCTTTATAAAACAATTTCAATCATAAACTTGCATAAGTTTTGATTGACTGAAAAAGCTAGCAGAAATTGTATCGTTAGCGCATTTCAGTGAGAATTTATTTTCAAAGTTTGATCTCGGTGAAATAATTAAAAATTATATAATTATATTTTTTAAGCTCAAATACAATCTTTAAAATGGACTTTTTTCATGATCTAACTAACCTGTCACAGTTAGAAGCACTCAGAACAACCGGTATTGAAAAAAAACACGAATTAATCAAAGAATAAAAAAAATGCCGCGTAAATAAAATCAATGATTTTTATTAAAGATTTTACGACCCAATAGAGACCCGAGTAAAAATGTATGTCATACAAATTCATCTATGGAAAAAAAACTAGACATCAAGCTTATTTCCTTTAAATTTTCCTTCTAAGGATCTTGTATGATAAGAATTTTTTGCCAACCCAGTGTTCAATTAGTTCAGAAACCAGTTCAATTAAGAGAGGGGGGTTTAGATAACGCGAACTTTATCTGCCCTTTAAACTGGCGCCTGTGTCAAAGACAAAACTCGACTAATTGCTTCCATTCCCTCTAATTTAAAAAATTTTATTGATAAAATCATGACCCAATTCACTACCGTCCGTCAAGTTCTTTCAAGTTTTCAATTATCAATTATTTAGTTAATTATGAATTTTACTCAGTGGTCAGTATTTTCAGCATCAATATTTCAGTCTATTCTATTTGCTGCCTGATAAACAGTCGGTAAACTAACAAAAAAAAAGTTTGCATCTGAGAATTTAATTCGAAAAAAATAACCATACAAAGAGAAGAAGCAAAATTTGCTTTCTAAGACGAAACAAAAATGGCATTTGTCTACGTAGTTGGAGCTGGCAATGATACTCTGGGCGATTCTGTCCCAGACGAAGACTGGAGTCTTGTGAAAGTCGCAACATATGTGAGCGACGGAATCGGACTTTGCTTCACGCTTTTCGGTTTTCTGTTCAACTACTTCTGCTTCATAACGGCCGACCATCTGCCTGTCTCGACCAGTGCAACACTGATGAAGTATGTCGCAGTTTGGGACACTATGAACTGTTTGGTCAAAATAGGAGTGCTAAACACTGCAATGACGAGTCAGATTGAATTGCAGTGGGAAACATACACGGTGAGTAAAAACAGAAAGACAACTACTCGTTTAAATTATTACATTTATCTAAAAGTGTCTGTTTTAATCTTCTAGTATAAACTAATATGTCAAAAAGATTTATTTAGCTGCACACTAAGGTGAATTTCAAAGACCTTACAAAAAACCACTAACACTTTTTGGAAACTATGATGATCCAAACTTTTTCAGAAACGAATGTTTGTGATAACATTTTGTACGTCAATGGACATTTTAAAACTTCTTTTGACAAATTTTATTGTCTTCCAGGACCCTGAAGACCCCTAGAATAAAGTAGCAAAAATCAAACCTCGGTTCAAAGGTTGACCAGTAGTAAGGTGACTCAAGATTCCTCTCACACAATCTAGTATGCACGCACAAGCCCAAGCTTTATTATATGTTAAGATTTTAAAAATATAATTAGCTTGTTTTTTTTAGAATTGGTCGTGCAAGGTGTTTGCGTATTTTCGCTGGACAGTCGCACTATGTGCTGCTTACCACGTGGTGCTTTTAGCACTAGATCGCGTGGTGCTTCTGAAGTTTTCAGCCTGGCACCATAACAACGCGTCTCCTAGGTTAATGTCAAATTGTAGGCATCAGATTGTCGTTGTGTTGTTTCGTGGCTATCACCAATTTGCAGAAATTCAAACCTATAATTTTTGGTATATTGTAATTAAAAAAAATAGCTAGTAACAATTTCAATAAGATTTTTTTTTTGAAAAATCAAAAAACAACATCACAAAAACTGTGCAAACTTCAGTCTTAAAGATAGCAGGTTAATAGTAGTTGGTGCAATTTTAACTAGTATTTTAGATAATTCTTGTTTTTAAAAAAAACTAAAAAAAAGGGATTCGTGTGTTCTGTTTTTAGTATTAAATGTTACTGACTGAAATGTTACTGACTGAGTCAAAAAAATGGTACCAGTTGTGCCAACAGTTTGACATTAACTATAGCAAAATACGGAACGCGAGTTGCGCCGTGGCAGCATTTGGGCTGATCGTCAACTCTTCTGTCCTCTACATATTCGAACTACGGAACGGCAGATGCCTTTTTAGCCAGGCTATTCTGACCAGTCAAGCTGTTCTGGCAAAGGTAATTAGACCGGTCTATATGTCTTTGAACGTTTTAGGACCATCTTTGGTGCTAATTGTCTGCAACATTATTTTCATTCGAGAATTGAGAACACGTGAAGAGAAAAAAGACAATAATGGTGCAAATGACGCCGGAAAATTTATATGTGCGCAGAAAAAAGAGCAAATAATTCAGAAAAAGAAAAATATGCAAGAATACATCAAAATAGTAATGGTCGCTTCCATTTCTTACTTGGTATGTACAGTTTGTGTGACTGTTATCACAACGTTGGCTTCAAGAACAGATCCTGGCACTGAGCTACGACTTCTCCTGAGATCTATTGGAGTAACTTTTGGACTGATAAATACTTCGGCTAACTTTTTGTTCTACCTTATGAGTGGAAAAGCGTATCGAGCTTCGTTTATGAAAGCAATTTCTGCCAAATTCCGGACGGGCAAATAGGCCGAAATAACAAGCAGAAAATTGGAAACTACTTGAATACTAGCGTAGCGGACATAAGACTTACTGGTGGTTCATGTAGATCACTTTCAAAAACTTGTTTCAAGCAAAATAATCTAAGCTAACAGCTCTTGGTGAAATTGCAGTCTGTTTCGAGTTTCTCTCAAAAACAATTTTTTTGAAAAAAAAACTTTTTTTATTCGAAAGCACAAGTAGCACAGATCTGACATCATTTTTTTTGAATTATGCGTACCCATCTTCTATTTATTGACAAGTTTTTTAGAAGTAACTTTTTTATAACGATTTTTTTTTCTCGATTTCGTTACAAAGATTAGCGGGGTCAAAACAGTTTGCGCTACTTGCGCAACAACCAGCTCTCCATGCTTACCTTGAAAAAGCAAATAAGCTTTTTTCAGGGGCTTCAAAAACAATTGAAACAATCGTATTTTTTTTTGCAAAAAAAAACTACTGCAATTGCAATTTATGAACAATTGTTTTTGCGTTGGTTGTTAAAGTTTATGAAGTTATGTAGATTTGAACAAGACTAAAAGGCTTTTGTTTTGAAGCAATTTTTTCACCAAGTTCTCATCTCTTTTCCCTCTTTCTAATTTATATCGTCCAGCAGAAGCATAAAGGTTTGATAATGTAAAAGCTTTTAATGTTAACCCATCTGAGCAGTAAATTTTTTTAAAAAATAATGTCGAACCATATATCATTTCTGAATGTTTAATGTATTGTGATAACCCAATACTAATTTTTAATCAACCAATTTGATTTATCAGAATGAATTATAGAATCGTTTCCCAAAAGCATTTAATTTGCTCTCGCAGCTGTTTTTTTAAAATATTGTGAATGTATTTTGAAGCTTTCTACAGTTATGTAGAACTTAGTAGGACTAAATGGCTTTGTTTTGAAGCAAATTTATTCCACCCTTATCCCATTGTCTTTTCTAATTAATGTTGTCTTACAAATTTTTGTGATGTATCAAGTTAATTTTAGTTATGTTTTCCCGGTAGTACTTGATTTGTAATCACAGTTTAATTAACATTCTCATCCTAAATTTTATCCTTTTGATTGTACAAACTGAATTGTATCAGAAGAACTCCTCCGGGAAAAGTTTTTTCTATCGAAGATGATCTTCAGTACACAGGAATGCATAGCCAGGTGAAAATCTTGAACATTGAACTTAAATGGTCCCGGGAAATCCTAGACTTCTTCGTATTAGCCATTCAGGAACCTTGCTATAAAGTCTGAGACAAGTTCGAACTGCCATATTTCCGCCGAATAGGTTTGTGATACCTCCTTGTTCGAAACTGGTCTTTAGTTTTTCTCTCAGTTTTGCTTAGAATCAATAGATATCAGGGGCAGATTTAGGGAGAGGGGTGGACGCGTTTTTCAGGGATACGAACCCCTGCCGACCCAAAGGGTGTTCTCATTGCACTTTTTGGAGATATCTATTTTTGGTTATAATAAAACACCAATTTGCTGAATGATAAAATAAATTTAAGATTCAGAAGGCAACTTTTTTCTCGGAAACTTTGCTTGGAGGTTTGTGGGATGGCTCATTTGTTGATTTTTTTTTCTTTTTACAGAAACTATCGAAATTTGTACTCAAACAGACATTTTGCAAAAAAAATCATCCTTGAAAATTTTTGCGAAACCTAAAAAGTATCAATGTGTAAGAAAACTCTTTCACCTTTTAAAATCGTTTCCAATGCATCGTAAATGCAAGACAATCAAACCTATGATGACTCTAGTTTTGGGGAAACCATGGTTTTTGTCGCTTGTGTTGTGTCACAAACACATTGCGAAAATATCGACAATTTTAACTTCTGCGAAATCAATTTTTTGGTTATTGGGAAAATGCTAGTCATGCATTTTCCATATAAGAAAAATCTCTATTCATAGACTTTTCATGCATCTTTTTGTACTAAAAAATGCATGAAAAATGTATAACTCGCCTTTTTCCATTTATCAAAATTGCTTGATTAGTTTTTTTTATCCACCCGGGTTAGTTTTGGAATCCAGGAGCATGCAGACACAAACGTGTTTGCCTATCTTTTGCACAGTTTTTCCTCGTCATCTGCTATAAGCCTGATTTGTTGCGGTAATCTGCAGCAGCCTGATATAATTTTAATAACTGAAAATCTAATAAAAATGTACCAAATTTTCAGCTTTGGCAAAATCGAAATCATGTTTTTTTTGTTGCAAAGAAGTAGAAAAATGAAATATTGCATAATTTCTTTGCTCAATTTTGTATTCATGGTGTTGTCATCTCAGATTATTATATTGAAAAACGAAACATCTGGTAAGGGATAATCATCGGAAGGATGTTTTTTTTTGCAATTGAAACCCTGAATTCTCTCGGAATCCAATTAAAAAAACCGTTTTCTAATGGTCCAGACTAAATTAAGGCTCATTAACTATATTTTCCCCAACAATTAAAATCATGTACTTTTAAACCTCGAAAAAAATTTGTAAAAAAAAATAATTTTCTGTTTCCACCCTGTTTGTCTGTTTTGTCTCGAATCTGAGAAAAGTGAAATGAAATCAAATATATTGGATTTTTATGATAAAAATTTTGACAAAATGTTCCATCTCCTTTTTGCACTGAGACTTAAAAAGAGAATAAAAAACCAAATTAAATCCATTGGTTTCATCAAATTAAAATTAATACAATTCTATTAAAATCAATTGAAAAAAAAGAATTTTTGTCTACTTTGTTTTCGTTTCGCGTCGTGCAAATTGTTACAATTATTTTTGCTTTTAATAAACAAGGTTTGCAGAAACTTAGCAAGGCGAGTATACGGTCTACTGGATTTTTGAACCTAAATTTTCTCGGAATCGATTCCGTTAACCTTCCTTCCTCCCCTAACGTTTGCCATTTTGGCCCCTTTGGCCCTGATCCACCCTACCTCCCACGTGAACCCCCCCTACAGTCAACCTTCCCTCCCCCAACTAAACCAACCACCGCACCCCACCGCTTTTTTCAATCATTCTTTGATGGTCAGAAGTGCTGTGTTTGGAAAAATTTAACCGAGTTAAGCAAATTTGGAGGATAAAAATTATGATTCCTATGATGCAAAAGTGTAAAAAATGGATTTGAGCAAATCTTGTCTCTGCTCAAAATTTAATTTGTTGTGTTCTCATCTCGGATTGATATATTAGAAAACGAAGCATCTGATAAGTGATATGCATCGAAAGGATGTTTTTGCGACTGTCGCCCGAACTCTTTTTTGTCCCGCTGAAAAGGTTTTGAAGAACTAAAACGCCCTCCGGATCCAATCGAGATTTCCACGCCCTCCGAATCCACTTAATGAAAAAGCAACTGTTTTCAGGGGGACTATTTTTAAATTAACCCGAAGCTGATGATGGCCTAATTGTTTGTTAAATTTTAGTGACCAAGACAAATTACACAAAAACTGTTGTCTATTGGAAGATTATGAGTTCAAGAATTTTCTGAATGACACGTAAAAACTTAAAGGCCACGTCTCCTTTGAAAATATTCAAAGAATCATAGTTTAAAATAGTTATCGTAAAACTGCAGCAGCAGTAGATATTCTGAAGAATTGTGAAGTGAGAAGAAAAGCTTCTCGTATCTCACTGAACACGCTATTACGCTATTAACCCGTTCTGAACCCTTTACCTATACTTGATAATTAACTATCTGCATAGTTAAAAATATTTGCACAAATTCAGCTATGATGTTGCTATCAAAATTTTACCACAGACGCTCTTTTAGTACAAGAACTAGATATTTTTCTGCCAATCAAAATATGCTCTCTCGTCAAGTTCTAAGCCACAAAATTTGGAGAGACATTTTAGGTTTAAACTTAATTCTAAAAAAGGGAGCTTTAACACGCAAGTAAATTTTAGCAGGCGTTTGAAGCAGGTTGCATTTTAAATTGAAAGCACAATAAAGGAAAGTAAAAAATTAATCAATGACGCAAATTACGAAAATATGCAAAAAACGACCCGATTTGACCATGCTACAAAAATTCTTTTGTCGTAGAACTTCCCATCAGGTTTCTAAGAACTTTTTCTTAAAATAAAAAAAATCAACAATTCGCCAGTTTTTCTATACCGTGATAACTACCTAAAATTTTTTCGGATTTTTTCTTCAAAATAATGCTATCAAAGGTAGTGGTTTTAATGAATGAAATTCCACAAAACATTTTAAAAACATTATAACGAGGTTAAAATATGCACTTGATATGCGCACAATTTGGCGTCTATATGCTCCCGGATTCCAGCGACAAGTCTTTAAATATGTTACAATTTTCTCGGAACAACCAAAGAGATTAAGAGAACAAGAGAAGAGCAAAGAGAGCGTCCTCGTTTTGAAATCCTCCTACAATACAAAAAAATACTCAGTTTGGCCTCGTAATGAAATTTTTTGTTTTTTTTCAATAAAAATTATTGTTACACGTAATTAGTTGCTCAAGTTTTTTTGGTAGATAATGAAGAATTAACCTTGACAAATCATGTCACAGAGTTTTGCGTTGTTCTATGTGAGGTTCGGGTATAAATCTTCTAAACTTCGGCAAATCAGCGAAAAGCCA